TGTGTGTGTGTGTGTGTGTGTGTGTGTGTGTGTGTGTGTGTGTGTGTTTGTGTGTGTGTGTGTTTGTGTGTGTGTGAGTAGCCGAGCCATGACGAAAGAGAGGAGAGTTTGGTATGGCAACCTGACTTCATTACCCATCCTCCCAGTACCAATCAGCTTTCTCAGCTTCCTTTTTGCCACCCCTTTCCTTGAATCAATTAATTCACATCTCTTGTTGGAGAACTAATCTTGATGCTTTCAGTCTGTGACCAACAACTGATTTTAACATCTAGCATAATAAATTGAAAACTGATCACAAGTTTGATTCTTTAAAACCAGCATATGATCTCAAAAGGAAAATAAATCAAAGTGCTGCAAGTAACAAGTTCAAATGTCATCATCCACTCTTACATCAGTGTAGTTCAAAAGAACTGGGGGCTTCATGTACAGACACTTGGGTGGTTTGCATTCAGTCAATTTGACATTTAAATGTTTTTGAATCGTAGACAAGGGAGAATTGGAAATATCGACCATTCGTCTGTCCGTGCATGTTGTGGACTTGATAATTTAACTTCCATTTTGGTGTGTGGCTGCATCTAAGTGTAAGAATCAATCAACCTTTATTTATACAGGTAAATCCCATTGAGCCTCGAGGACTCATTTACAAGAGAGACCTGATTTCAACAAAGAATGATGACAACAATGGACAACAGCAACAACAATAAACAGTTATAAAAAAGCATACTACAGTTTTTTATTTAAGAAAGGTTCCTTTCAAAAATTAGGTTGCCATGTCAAAATCCAACATAGCCCTCACCATATATATGTAAATCGACCACCCCTATATTTTGAGGAAACTATGTTTTCTAGTTTTTATATTGATTAAAACAATAGTTTCCTCAATTATTGGTGTAGCTGAAGATTAATCTATGGGGCCAAGGCCACCATTGGCCACCCCCTGGCTCCGCCATTGCACCTGGTTGCCTCCGCTCGCCAGGATCCGTCACTCGGCGCTGCCTCAGACATAATGAAATTAAAAACTACCTCTGTTCTTATGGACTGTGTACCTCCTACCCAATTGAATGTGTTGCACCAAAATCTAGGTTTGTTTGCATTCCCTGTTCAGTTCCTGCCCAAAAAAATACCAAATCTTGGAAAATATTCACTATTGAAATCTCACTAGTTGTATTTGAGATGGCCCTAGATGGAAATCTCACGTTACAGTACAGTGATCCTTCACCTATCATGGGGGTTACGTTCCAGAGACCACCACGGTAGGTGAAAATCTTCCAAGTAGCGACTTTATATTTACTTTATTATTTATATACGTTTACAGCTTTATAAACCCTTCCCAAACTCATAAACACTTCATATGTTCTTAAACACTTTGGCGATGAAGATGATGACAATGAGATGAATGTACAGAACACACAATATAAAAGAACAGGTTTAAAATACCTGCGATACAGTGAAGCCACAAGAAGTGAACAGCGATATAGCGAGGGACGACTGTATACACCTCAAGTGTGACCAGTAATTTTTTCCCATTATTCACACTGTCCCAGCATGCACTCTTAATCATTGCCAGTAGACTAAAACCTGTAGAAATGTGAGTACATCAACTATAAAGTTGACATGGAGCTGCAGACGTTTCCACACACATTTCATTATCGATACATCTGAACTTTTGTATGGAAAGGGGCGCGTGCCACTTTGTGCATTTAGACCCTCTGTACATGAGGCCTCCGATTACCATAATAGCTTAATCTAAATATGAGGGCCAATAAAAACACTCTGCAACAGAAGAAACAGAAACACTATCACCTAAAATAAAATAAGCTAAATAAATTGCATGTTTGGTTCAATGATTTTTTTACTACTTCACACAGGCTTGTTGAATAATAAGCTCTGAGGTCATGTAGGAACATGTTGGCTGGCTTTTTTGCTTTTGCTTAAACTAACGGCCGCCTAGTCACCTGTCAGCCATGTGAAAGTACACGCAGATGAGTTTATAAACACTCACTCGTCAGGCCTGTCTGCCCCTTGACACGTCTCACTCGTTCTTTATATTTTACGTGTTCAGATGATCAGATGTTGGATCACAGTATTGCATTGCTAGTCTGCGGCTCATCGTCAGTAATAAGTGCATGAGATAAGGCTGCAGCGTTTCCTTGAAAGCCTCAACAGACGTGACTGGCTTCACACAGAACTTTTTTGGATTCTGTTTGTTTTAAACAGGTAGTGAGCCCACAACTCTTCGAGTATAACATACATCACATCCTCGGATCTGCTGACTTGATCTCAGTCTCATCCAACAAAGTTAAGTCAGGTCCTGTGGACGGTTTCTTTTTTTAACGTTTCGTCCTTCATCCAGAAGACTTCATCAGTCCGAGGAGCCGCAACAAACTCAGTTCCATAAGTAGCACACTCGCATTGTGGGTCAATCAGTTTGATGGTGATAAGATGGTTTCTGGAGTCCGCCCTCTCCCCTGCGATTCATCTGAGGCAGCCATGGCCAAAGTGGTTCAAAGCATCAAAGTTCATGCCCAGTAGGATTACTGAGCATGAACTTTGATGCTTTGAACCACTTTGGCCATGTCTACTTATGGGACTGAGTTAGTTGTGTCTCCTCAGACTGATGAAGTCTTTTGGATGAAAGACGAAACGTTTCAACAAAAAGAAACCGTCCAGAGGACCTGACTGAACTTTGTTGAGTTTCTTACCTGGATTATTGAGTATGAACTTTGATGTACTTTCATGTTTTTATCCGATTTTTTTGTTTTGTTTTGTTTGTAAATGTTTCCAATACAACTGCACTCTCCTCTGGATATCCTTGTGGAAAAACACCCCACAGTCAGTCTCTTTTGTTACGAACTCTATTGATCTTAAAGGTAACTCACTACTCATCTTACAGGTTTGGTTAAATTGATCGTATCAGTTGGTCCTTTCCAAGTTCAGCTGCAGTGGAAAGTTCTCGACGCATGCCAGCTGCCTCGTCTTTGAGATTTCGATTGCTCATAACGGCACTTTGTTCAGGCGTTACTGGCGTTTGCAGTAAGGTCGTTGGCATGGAGTCCTTTGTGGCCTCATTCACATCCTTATCAGCTGGAATGGCTTGGATTTTATTTGTCATCTTCCTGCTAAGCTCCTTGGATTCTCCATTTCTCTGCCTCTGATCCACGCTGCTTTCTGGGCACGCTCAACTGTGATTAAACCACCCAGATTTTTTTTAAAACACAATTGTTTTGTGGTTTTGTCAACCCCTTTTTAATCCCTCTATTTTCTCTTCTATCCTCTCATTTAATCTACAGAGAACTATCACGTTAGGCGCTGGAGACCGGCAAGTCATTCAGACTCCCATCAACGACTCCCTTCCTGTCAGCGGCTGCAGTGTGGCTCAGCTATTCAGGCAGCTGGGTATGAACGATTCAGAAGTCCATCTCAAGTACTACTTACTGCCTTAAGTGGAACAATAATGTTCTTGCACATACTGTATGTCTTACCAAAATATCTCGTGAACCACTAGACGCATTTTAATGAAACTTACAGAGTACATCCACAACTCATTTATTTAGTCACTCTAGTTCAAGATGGCTACCACAGCTAATTAACTTTAGACAACTCCAAAGCTGGTAAAACTCAATCAGTTTGACAGATATTGAGGTAAAATTGTGTGTCGTAGTAGATGAGACAAATTCACAGCACATATCCAACAAAGTTAAGTCAGGTCCTCTGGACTGTTTCTTTTTGTTGAAACGGTTCTTCTTGCATCCAAAGACTTCATCAGTCCGAGGAGCCACAACAAACTTAGACTTAAATGCACCTTCACATAGTGGGTCAACCAGTTTGATGGTGCTAAGATGGTTTCTGGAGCCCACCCTCTCCCCCACTGACTCTTTTGGGAGGGAGTCAAGAGGCTAGTTTTGGCTAAAAGAGTCGGCAGGGGAGAGGGTGGACTCCAGAAACCATCGTAGCATCATCAAACTGGTTTTGACCCACCATGTGAAGATGCTTTTAAGACTGAGTTTGTTGTGACAACTTGGACTGATGAAGTCTTTTGGATGAAAGACAAAACATTTCAACAAAAAATAAACTGTCCAGAGGATCTTGGATTTTTTTTCTACTTGGATTATTGAGCTTGAACTTTGTTATTCACAGCTCATAGTTCCAGGGTTCGCAGCACCTCAAAATCAGGGAAAACCTGGAAAATGACTGAAATCTCAGGGAATTTGGACTCGGCTAATTAAAATCTGATCCTTCTGAGCTTTTAACGTGTTCATGTATCAATGATAGTATTTTAGTATCAATGAGTCCATGTTCTGCCTCTACAGTGTACAAGTATCCTTACTGACTGCCTCTGCTGGCCGTTTAGTTAAACAATATAATTAATTATTAGGAATGATTGTACACACGTACCGTAGGCTACAATATACTTCCTGTCATCTCTAAATGTGACTCTGCCCGCCACCTACGACGTTCAGTTCTGAGCATTTCGTGTGACTGAAATATCTCCTGGAATTTCAAGACTTACTCAGGGGAAGCTCGGAGTTTTGTTTCTATGAAATGCTGGGAATCCTGAATTCAAGCGCTACGTATTTCACGACACATTCGCTTTAAACGTGAGATGTTTACAAGAGCTTATCCATTTTAGCCAGCTCAGAAATTCATTCAACCTTTATTTAGACAGGTAAATAATAATAATAATAATAACTTTTATTTATAATGCACTTTACATTCACAGTGAATCTCAAAGTGCTACAAAGAGTGAACATCAGATAGCAGCAGGATAAGCAGCAGCAAATCCCATTGAGCCTCGAGGACTCATTTACAAGAGAGACCTGAAATGGTTTTAACTCGGCTTAATATCTGTAAAACTGACTAAAGTGTGATGTGGTAGTAGCTGAGAATCATTCTCAACACATACTAAAAGACTTTAGTGCTGAAAGATCGTGCATATCTTTCAAATGTTGCCATCTCAGCTGGCGGGCAGTAGGCTCTCCATCATGGAATGACACTTTCCAAAGAAGTAATGTGAATTAAATTTTTTTTGTGCTTTTGTAATTCAAATTAAGGCTCAGTCTGACTGAGACATCAGATTATGTTTTCCTACTAATATATCAGAAAATATTCAGAAGAAACAATTACTTTTCATAGTTTAAAAATTTGTTTGAATAGTAGCACTTAGTGAGTTTGACAAACATCACTTGATTTTGTGTATTTATGAAATAAAAACTAATTTGCATAACCACTAATTGTTTATTAGATTATAAAAATAAAAAATGGCAAAAGATTAAATATGTTGCCTCATAGTCTGCAAGCAGTTAGATCATTTGATCAATTTTGGACCGTTCCTTTATGAAATCTTGGTTTACCCCTTGATGTAGTTGTTGTGCTTTGTTTTCTCCTCAGGTATAGTCAACGTGCTGTATCTGTTCTGTGCTGCTCTGACAGAACACAAGATCTTGTTCCTGTCCAGCAGCTACCAGAGATTAACCGACGCATGCCGAGGTCTTCTGGCCATCATGTTCCCACTCAAATATAGGTGGGATTTCATTCTTCCAAGTCCCCGATGTGTTTGAAGTTAGTGCTTGTGTAAAGCTGTCAACAGGCTGAGAGTGGATTGTGTGATAAACCTATTCTTGTTGTTTTTCCTCAGTTTTACCTATGTTCCCATTTTGCCTGGAAAACTACTAGAGGTCCTGAGCACTCCCACCCCCTTCATCATCGGTGTTAATTCATTCTTTCGTTCTGAGACACAAGAACTGGTAGGTTTTCATGACTGTAGTCTTAAAAAACGAGACATTTGTTTCAGAAGAAATTGATAACTCTGATATAAAAAAATGTACTGATGTAGATGAAGAGCAATAGAAAAATCAATATGTTCACAAACTTAAATGTAAAAAGTATTCTTTCAAAGGTGAACTAAAGTTGATCAATAATGTAAAAAAATTCAATTAGCCATTATCAGTCCAATGCAGTCACTGATTTGGGATTGCACAGACCGTCTCAAAACTGACTGGGTATAAGGCTTAATGTTGTATTGTAAGTAGAGCCCGACCGGTATATCGGTAGGTCCAATAATTTAGGCCGATATAGATGTTTGGGGACCTATCGGTATCTGTGATAATTGTCCCATTATGCGCCGATATAAGCACTTCTAATATTCACCCATAAAATGCTGGAGCCAGCCGTAACTGTACAATGAATCCAGCAGAGGGAGCATGGAGACTACTTTCGAGTCATGGTCGTTCACTTAAGTTTCACTTTCACGTTCAGCACGGACGAAACAGGGAGCAATACTGTGTAGTGTATTTTTCTGAACAGAGCATGTTAAGTTGGTTTTAACTGATCTGTAAAACAAATAAACAATAATAAATTATTTTCAATCCTCCAACGCTTGTCATTAGCTACATGCCTCTCAAGTTGGCAAGCTAACGTTAGTGTTCAGTTGCACCGCCTTCATGACATTAGCCCCATTGTCAGTAGTTATAGCAACAGTCCAGTCAAGTTCAAGGATTTTTATTGTCATTTGTATCACATGTGGTACATGAGGTGGAATGACATTGTGTACTCAAAGTCCCAGTTACACCCAAAAATAGCAAAAATTTTAAGTATAAAAAGAAACGGTTTATAAGGATCTAAGATATACACTTAAGATATACGCTAAACGAACGCAAAACAATATGCTAAAGGATGTAAGACAGACGCTAAACACTAATAATGTAAAGTAATACGGTAAATGAAACAGCAGCCTGAACATGAGTCTGTAGTGAGTAGATGGGTATGAATGAATACAGCAGTCGGACTGAGCTTCCAGTTTGTGAGGACATCCAGTAATGTTATCTTTGTCAATCCTCAATGAAATGCATCGTTTGTCTGAAATTTTTACTTGTCTGCAAAGAAAAATTAACGCTGCTGCGGTCAGTACTAATTAGATCTTCACCATACATGACTGACTGTTTAAATAATGAACAGGGAAGGTGTTTCTTTGTTGAATTTATATTTATGTAACACACTTGATAACTTTATGGTGAATAGTGGAAGATAGAAAATGTGAAAGCACATTAGGAAGGAAGACAGTTTTTATGATCAGTGCACCACATGCAAACCTATCGTGGGACTAATTAAAGCGTGGATCTGATTAGCTTAGCTTCATGGTTGCTAACAGCTGCGCTACATAAACAAGTCCCGCTCCACTATCTTTTCATACAATGGGATTATCCTGTATAAATAAAGGTCAAATGATGAGCATGCATCAGGATAAAGGTCACATGAATTAACCTAATTTTATTAGTTTCTGCTTCTCCTTAGATGTTTTCTCTGCTTGATGCTTGACAATGATTTGACCCTTCTCAAACAGACGACATCTTTTCCACGACCACACCATGTGTCTTTCTACATGGTTGTTTAAGAAATGAGAAGCACCTCATTGCATCAGTTGGGGTTAAATAACTTGTTGCAGCTGAAAGATAATCGCCCATGCAGTAATTATCCAATAGGACGCATGTACCTATTTGCTTAGTTAAATCCAGTTTTTTGCATAGATTTGTCAGTCCTGCAACTTGTACGTCGAAACGACTTGTATACGATTTTTTTTTTTCATATTCATAACACAATTTTTGACCAACGCTTTAAATTTCTAAGATCTGCAACAGCGAGTCCTCCCATGCGTGCTGCTTCACTCAGCTGGTGTAGGTGGAAGAACGCTGGAGAGCTAGCGGCTCATCATCACTGTATGGATGATGGATGGATGGCGCGGCCTCACCCAGTGAAATGAAGCCGTTTTGACCATTAAATAAATGCATAATAAACGCTACGGGTCAGTAGTGACGTGTAATAAATGCAACCTATACGCCGAAGCTACTTATATATGTTTTTTCCCTCATATATATATATATATATATATATATAAAGGCATTTTAAACCCTTCCAGTACTCTTGCAATATTTTAAACAATGTTTCCAAGCTCTACACGGTCTAAAAGACACAAAATGTCATGATTCAGCTCCCTGCCTCCTTTGCCATCTGCAAGCGCTCTTGGCCACGCCCACTTCTCCGTTCTGCATGGTGAACAGCTGATCAGCTGCAGCAGGAAGTTTATCCTGCAGCTCTGGTGCAGCAGGTGCTAAATAATTAAAAATATTGTATTTTAAATAAAAATGTCATGCTGATCGTGTGGCTCATCCATCAATCAGCCAATTGTGTGTCATGTCATCTTATTTTGAAAAACCGCGATAGAGCGAGTCAGCGATAAACGAACTGCAGTGTAGCGAGGGACTACTGTCTTCATCCAGCACTAAATTGAACACTTCTTCATAAATTTTATGCAGGCATTGTTATTTGTTGTTTTTTCAGTCTAAGAAGGTTGTTTTTAATTATGGGGTGGGGTGGGGTTGCATTATGTCAACATTAAACAAACAATCAGCATCGGAGAAACTCTGTACACTGTTTTCAAGAACACCACCTGCTCCTGGTTTTGTGTAAGAGAAACATGATCCTTGTGAAAACTGCCTCTAATCTTAGCATTAAAAGGTGAAAGAGGCATACAGAGAAGGAGAAACCCTGGGATGGACCTTCATTTACTCTGATGTGGGGTTGGATTACAGCAGTCACCTTTCTGTTTGCTCCTGCTGACCTGTTAAACAACAAATCAGCCGTCTTTTATTAACCCTTTATCGTCTTGTGGGTCACACCAGGTACTGAAAGCAAAGGTTCACATACTTTTGCCACTGACAAATATGTAATATTGGATCATTTTCCTGAATAAATAAATGACCAAATATAATTTTTGTCTCATTTGTTTAACTGGGTTCTTTTTATCTACTTTCAGAACTTGTGTGAAAATCTGATGATGTTTTAGGTCACATTTATGCAGAAATATAAAAAATTCTATAGGCTTAGTAAACTTTCAAGCACATACTGTAGGTATGCTTTTTAAAAATATATTTTAAATTTAAATTTTTGTGGCCCACCAGTTCTTTTATCTTAACAGTTTTGGTCAACGTAGGAGACAGTTTGGACACCCCGACTCTAAAATTTAAATGTCCACAAGTTTTCAAACTTTTGCAAACTCCTCTTACTCACATAAGTTCCTTTAGTACATATACAAATGACGCATTTAAGCATACCGGAAGGCATTTCTGTCTCATTTCAGCCAACATGTCTCTCACTGCTTAAAAAAAATCACAGTTCATTTCCAATTTTCAATTTGCTTCCTATCAATCATTAAAATGGTTAAAATGTTTTTGCCTAGGTGATTACAAAGCTTAGGACACTGGCACTCATAAAAATGTTTTTGTAAATTTTTAGACTCATTATGAGCTATTGACAGTGAAATGAACACTCCTGTTAAATGTTTGTAGCTGCAGCCATCTTGATGGAGCCATGTCTTTTCTGGTGAAACAAAAGTTTAAATAAATTTTTTCGACCTGCATCAGTCATGTGGCTGTTATGACTGTTCAATCCGTCATCAGGCCCAGAGTCAAAACCTTTATTAATGGGAGGCTACAGAGTCAAAACCTTTATTAATGGGAGGCTACAGAGTCAAAACCTTTATTAATGGGAGGCTACAGAGTCAAAACCTGTATTAATGGGAGGCTACAGAGTCAAAACCTTTATTAATGGGAGGCTAGTGTTTGATTTGGAGGATTGTGGAATGAGCAGCTGCTGAGAGAACAACCTTCTTTATCTCAGCTTTTGTCCTCCAGTTACTGTAGCTGTCTCAGTCGGCTCTACCTGAAGTAGAAATGACCCGTGTTTCTGTTTGTGTTTTCAGTTGGACGTACTCATCGCTGACCTGGATGGAGGCACAATCACAATCCCTGAATGTGTTCACATCTCGCTGCTGCCTGAACCGCTCCTGCAGCAGACCCAGACTGCACTTTCCATGGTAAGAGCTGAACCCTGGACACACCCAGACCATTATAAAAACCTGCTGATGAATGCTGGGAAGTCCTAAAGATGTGTGCTGGGTGGTTTCCATAAAACACTAAATTACCCTGTGCTGTTTTATAAATAAAAAAAATGAGTGAAAGTCCTCCTGGATTAGTTTTTCTTCTCCTTCTTTGTAATATTTGTTTTAAACTAAAGGTTATTTGTAGCAATACCATCAGAACATTATTATTATTGTTGTTGTTGTTGTTGTTGTTGTTGTTGTTGTTGTTGTTGTTGTTGCTGTTGCTGCTGTTCATGTTGTTGATGTTGATATTGTTGCTGTTGTGGATGTTTTGTTGTCAAGTCAAATTTATTTATAAAGCACACTTAAAACAGCAGCTGCTACCAAAGTGATGAATAATAAGATCAAGGCAGTAAATTAAAGAAAGAGATTAATAGCAAGATGTAATTAAAAGCATACAAATAAAAATGGAACATAAAAACTAGAAACAATGAAATACTAATTCAAATCACACTGTGTTAAATGTCAGTGAATACAGGTGTGTTTTAAGGAGGGATTTAAAAGCAGGAAGTGAAGTGGTTTGTCTAATGTTGAGGGGCAGATTGTTCCAGAGTTTAGGGCCCATGACTGAAAAAGCCCAATCTCCTCTGAACTTCAACCTGGTTTTTGGTACAACCAAAAGCAGCTGGTCAGATGATCTCAGCGCCCGAGAAGGAACATCAGGATGAAGGAGGTCAGAGAGAAATGAGGGTGCAAGGTCATTTATGCACTTAAAGGTCAACCGGATAATTTTAAAATCAATTCTGACATGCACAGGGAGCCAGTGAAGGGAGGACAAAACTGGTGAAATAGGATAGAACCTAAGAGTTCCTGTTAAGAGCTGAGCTGTAGCATTTTGGATGAGCTGGAGATGTGAAAGGGAGACCTGACTGACCCCAACATAAAGCGAG